TTTTTCTAAAAAAAAATTCACCGTTCTAAAAAACCAACCAAAACTGAATAAATAAATGATATTTCTGATATTTTTATAAAGAAAACTATGAACTTCAGGAATAAAACATTTTATTCATAACATCGATAATGAGCCATATATCAATTATATAAGGAAAAGGTGAAAAGAAATCAGTTCAATAAAGGTAGTGACTAGAACAAAAGTTATTAAATTGAAGGTAAATGTCTTTGAAATATAGGCAATTTTTTTCTTATTCTTTGCCTTATTTAATACAGATTCTGTTTCACTATTGAATATATTCAGGTTTATAACTATTATAATAATAATAATGGTAATAAAGGTTTTTTTATTAATTTTCAATTAGGTACTATAAAAAGTAAATGGTCGAGATGCATTATATTCTTCCACCTAACCAAAAACAGACTACTAAATGCCAAATCAGAACAAACACAAAAAAGCATTAATTATTTTCAAATGCACTCACGTTACAAGGAATATAAACATTGCCATCTCTAATTAATAAATCTCAGTTCAAATTGAAGATGAAGATTAGTCAAAGAAACATACATCATTCTTTTAAACATTGTGAGTGGTAAATTAATAATTCTCAGATCAAACTGAAGATGAAGAGTGGGAAAAATGAACAGAATTTAAAAAATGAAAATAGAAGTTACTATCTATCGAGAAATCTGATGATACGCGTCCGGAAAGTCGATAACGAGTGCTGATATTATAAGGAAATCTCATATTTTCGTCAATCTACAAACCCAGATTCTTAACTTTATTAGAAAGTGTTAATGGATCCCCTCCAATCTGAAAACCACCTAAGTTGTTTGCAATGCATTTTTTCTTGCGTTCTTTCAACCAAACACTATCGCAACAGTTCATTTGAATTCAGTTTTAGACAATGATTCACAGAAAATTGCCCAAAATCATACAGATCCAAATTCAAAGCACTATCATCATTATTATCAGCACATTATTTTTTTTCAAAAAGTACACCTCACGATTCGATCTCTACAAACTTTATTTGAAAAATATATCACATGTTTCGCTAGCAGAGTAGCTTTTTGAAGTGATTTATCACACTGTGCTAGTGTTTGAATAAAGTACCCCAAACTGCCGCAAATATACAGAAATATCTTGAAGTGATACCACCGAAATAAACACCATCAAAAGTTTTTTCTTTTGCTGTGTATTTTATTTTGCAATTTGAAATCGACAGCAATTACCATTTTTCAATTCCATAACAAAAATCACCAATTAATTGAGAATTACCTAGTGAAAAATAATTTTCCTAGAGCTTTTATTGGAAAAATAATTGAAGAAAGAAGTTTCTCCTCCCAAAATACAGGGGTGAAACCCAAATACCACAAAATTCCATCTGTAGAGAATTTATCTGATAAACTTGGAATGCTACTCAGTACCGAGCAAATTAAAGTAGCCTTTTCAAATGAAAATACAGTTGGAAAGCATTTTTTCTCTAAACGAATAACAAAAACACCACAAGAAATACAATCCAATATAGTGTACAAATTGAACTCTTGAAGCGGTCACAAATGATATGTTGGTCAAACCGGACGGTATCTTGAAACACGAGTTTCAGAACACATGAGAGACTTTAAGAAACTGAATATAAAAAACCACACAGCTCTCGTTGAACACGAAAAAGAATATGGACACATTTTGATCATCCAACTATACTAGATGTTCAACCATATTTGTCCAAAAGACTTTTGAGCGAAATGATACATGTCCTCAAATGCAATAGTGTAAACACTAGATGAGATGTTGATGGCCTTGATACTGCATATTTCAATTTGATACGTAAAATACCTGAATAACTCACCCTTTTTTCATTCTTTTTCTTTCTGCCATTGATTAAAAAACAAACACCACCTCATCAGAATCACAGATAAAGCTATTCGTTTGTTTCATGTCGTTTTGTGTTGTTGTTGTCTCGGAAATTTGGTTGTTGCAATGGTTTTTATTTTTTCTAAATATTTATCTATGTCTGATGGTTTTTAAAATAGTAGTATTATCAACACGAAGAAACTACTTTTCAGTGGGTAATTTAATTGAAAACTCATTATTTCTCGTGAAATTTAAACGATAATAATCATAGATATAAGTTTTGTGGAAGGTTTATTCATGAAAATTCATTTGGGGAAAATGAAGACGTTATTTATAGAATACGACATGTAATGAACATTGAATGAACTCTGTCGGAGGGGTACAGTTTCATGTGAATGCATAATATATAAGTTTTGTGTTTCATCTTACTCACCCCAATTCTAACAATCATTTATTCGGATATGGAACAATTATTTGTCTAAAAAGAATGAGTTCTCAAAAATACTCGTGATCGTCGTGTACCATACTTTTAGTTTTAGTTTTTGTACGTGCCAAAACATTGTTTGAATAAATATTTTTATTAGAATTTTGTTTAATTTCATCAGCATTGAATTTTTGGTTTACTACTTCTGAATCGTTGAACGGAAATATGGAAACGTTTCAAAGAAAGGAAGAAAGAAAAACTACAATGAAAACTCTCTATACAGAAACGTATAGTAGTTTTTTTTAGACGCAAGCTGACTTGTGAAATGTTTTTAGTGATAGCCAAATTGACAATTCCATCATGTTTCATGGAACCAGCAGTTAGGTATTCGACATGAATTAAAATTGACTATTGTAAATTCTAATGGCTTTGTCTGTAGGTCAAAATAATGCGATTCTGCTTACAAATTCATGCCGAGTACCTACCAGCTGGTATCAGACTCTTCTGTATCTGTAAAGTAGGTAGGGTGAGTGTAGGCCCATAGCACTAACTATTAACTAGTGAAACCACTACCTGCAAATTAATTTGTCCGCTTTTCAATCTATTGTTGACAAAATTGTTTTCAAAAATCGGTTTACAAAACCACTCACTACCTCACCTAACCCCACGAACACACGGCACTGATAAAGAAATATTGTGAAACGGACACAAAATTAATATTCAGCCAGTCCAGCTGGCCGAGTCTTTATTCCTCAACTACATTTACTAACTATCTGGGCGACTAGAAGCCACAGGCAAGAAATGTTTATGACTGTACTCTTATTTTTATTGCCGTTCCAATTGAGAATGGATAGACTATACATGATGTTTAAACAATATAAATAATTTCCTCCACATTTGAAACATCGAAAGATTCTGAGTACTTACGAATGGAATATTTTATTGTTTCGGCTAATAATATTCTGTTTTCAAGAATATGTGAGGGTGGATGTTGAAATACTGATGTGTACTTCGGCAAATTGAATGATATTTGTGAATTCAGAGGTAGCTTACAGATTCAATTATTTTGCACTTCTAGGAGAACATTGAAAATTATTTTAATTTGTGTCTCCAAGTGTCAACCCGGACAATTGACTTATTATCTAATTATTTTGTTTGCCACACGAAACAATCGCATGTATATAAAAATAAAAACTACTCATCATTCATGCATTACGTTACTTTAGCAATTCGAATCTTGTTTTCACTCTCCATTTTTCTCATCTGCCAGTCAACAAAAGTTATGAAGCTAGGACTTTTTACCATATTGGTAAGTACATCAGTTATTTACTTTAATGGAGAATTTCATCAGTTCGGACTGTCTAATATGATATAAAATGATTTGAAATTCCTGAAGTTATAATGTGGCGAAGGAAAATATTTTTCCAAAGTTCGTCACTTAACAACAAAGTTAGCTTTGTCTTACATTATTTTGCTACAAATGTAAGATATTCAAAGTTGAATAAAATAACATGAATAGGGAATATTCCTGAATGCATTTTTTGAGTTGCTCCTTGTTATGAAATTCGAAGGTATTATTCACATTCCGAATATCTATCACAAATGAACTCCATTTCGAAACATTCTTGATGTATGTCATAGAAAAAATATAGTATTCTTTACTCTAGAAACAGTCATTACCCCCTCGAATGGCAAACTTCTCTCTCATTCTCAATTGCCACATCTCTCACTTACTGCATTACATACTATAATCTTTTCGAAAGTTCATATTCATATTTTTTCACAGATCCTGATCTGTGGCCTGCTATTCACCAGCTGTCTCGCCGCTCCCGCTCCTCATGGTTGGGGAGGAGGTTCAAAAATCATCATCATAAAGAAAGGTTATGGTGGCGGACATCACCATGGATATCATCATGGAGGATACAGTCCTTGGGGACATGGAGGAGGTCATGGGGGAGGCTATGGAGGAGGATATGGAGGTGGCTTTGGGGGAGGTTTTGGAGGAGGCTTTGGAGGTGGTTTCGGGGGAGGTTACGGTGGTGGCTGGGGAAAATGAAGATGTTATTTATAGAATACGAAATGTAATGAACATTGAATGAACTCTGTCGGAGGGGTACAGTTTCATGTGAATGCATAATATCTAAGTTTTGTGTTTCATCTTACTCACCCCAATTCTAACAATCATTTATTCGGATATAGAACAATTATTTGTCTAAAAAGAATTTATTCGGATATAGAACAATTATTTGTCTAAAAAGAATGAGTTCTCAAAAATACTCGTGATCGTCGTGTACCATACTTTTAGTTTTAGTTTTTGTACGTGCCAAAACA